CAGCAGAAGACGGAAGTGGCAAGTGGAGACGTGCAGTTGAAGCCGTTTGTTCCACTAGGAACCCAAGGGAGCAATAATAATAGTAATAATACAAACTAGCTGAGGTTAACATCATGGGGCAGTTAGATTTCTTTTAACTGACTGAATAGGAAATTACGGAACCTGATTATTCTGAGTTCAGTCTTTTTTTGTCGGTTGAAGACGACGTACTGTTGAAAAGTTTCAGGATAGAAGGAAGCGGTGGTTAGGTTTTGAATTATTTTAGATAACACAAACTGGCGATGATTACGACTAGTTTTTGAGATAAGAGATTGTAGTTTTTACTCCTACAATTTATCCTATCTTTCAGCGTACAACACTTTGTTGGTTATTGCCGCAACTTTAGTAGCTGCAGGAACTAACTAGGGCTTCGTTGACACTGTAATAGAATACTTGCCGATCACACACGTCTTCCAGGATTTGATCCCCAGTAGACATACTCCTAAACATCGCTTGGCCAGTAATGAGCCTGGTAAATAGGGGAAGTTGAATGTGAGACTAACAACGTCACCCCGGAAGCCCTATTTTCCCCTCGTAACGCAAAAATTGAAATAATATAAATAAAAAAGTTTACTCTAACTTAGTTGCCAAGTATGAACGAAATAATTTCATTTCTGTCTAGGTTTATTCATTTCTGTTCAGGAGATGAATAATTTCTTATATGATAGCAAAATAATGGGGATATGGATGTTGTTTATGTATATATTTACTGTTGAAATTATGTAGTGATTTTTCCTGGGCACTTGAATTTCAACTGTCTTAGTGCTCTTTATACAGTGTGACTTGCATTTCATTTTTTCTCATTTTTGAAGATTATTTTAAAAAAAAATTTATAAATGTTCTGCTACCTTTTGGGCAACTTCACATATGTTGGTATTTCGCCTTTTTCTTACACAATAAAAGTTCCAATTAAGAATCTAAAAATTTCTTCTTATTGGTTTGGTGATGGAAGTGTTGGGGGAACAGGTACACAATTTAGCAGTCGACAGTTAGTTTGCCTTAAAATTTTTCGAAAATTATTCTGATGCTCACTAGCGACTGGCTCTATTCATGCAGTTAACCTGGGGTTCTAGTGGGAAGCCGTGACCAGTAGGACACAGCAGGTTGAAGATGAAGCAGTAACTCATCGAGGAAGACAGTGCGAAATGGTCACACTATGTCGTGAACTGGCAGAAGTTAGAATTCATGGACTGACCATTGGATTGGATCCCAGTGGCTTAATGGTCTACGAGCTCCCCAGCCTTGTAACCAGAAGGTCCTGGGTTCGAACCCAGGTCTGTGGGTGCGTACTTCTGAAGAGTCTCAAAACTAGAACGAAACAACTGTCCAGTACTCCCTGCAGGTTTTCCACTGGTTCTCTAACCGATGTCAGCTCATGATGAAATCGTCCATGCAAGTAAAATGTTTTAACCGATAGCATGTTTGGCAGTATAATGTAGTAGTTACTGGATAATTTATTGGATGACGTTTTCAACACAATTTATTGTTCATAATTATATCAATTATAACTTATGCAGTAACAAATTTTGTTGGTCAGAGAATCCTGTAGAGCCGACTAAACCGAATAATTTAATTTATCTGATGCCCTACAATGATTGTTGAGTCAATTACGTAAGTCAAGTAATAGGTCAGGGTCAGTTGGATTAGTTGAGCACTAAAGCCTGGCGAAATCTGGATTAGGTAACCTTAATATGACAGTGAATCTAGAAAATAGCTGAGCTACAGCATTACATTCAGTTACACACAACTATACAATAGGTTAGGGTAAGATAACATCCAATATAACAGGGTCGATGGAGAGATTAATAACAAAAGGCTTATTTATCAAATCAGTACGTCCCATAGGAACTAAATGCCCAAACATCGTCTAAGTATCTGCACAAGAAGCCGATATGTCAGCCTGAGACCGAGCACTTTGGGAAAATCTCAAATTTAATTAAATATATATGGGATTGTCAAAGCGGTTTGTATTCAATAGACCATTGAAAAAAGGAAGTTGTCAACCAATAACTTTCTAAATGCATATCACCATGATTGAGTTTTTGGGAGTATTGATCTTAGTTTCTGTCATTAATCAAAATACTTCCAATAGTTCCTTCTCTTGATGATTGTCAAAAGGAATTGAGAAAAACTCATTCACATCTACACTTCTGAAAGCCATCAACAGTATAGTACGTTGACATGTGACGTATGCATTACAACAAGTTGAAATTAAATATACCAATATTTTTCTAAACAATTTTTCAAAATTCATTTGTGTTAATGAAATGTCAGCCAGTAAAATCAAATCAGTGTGTTCCCACACTCATATAGAAGAACACCCAGTTAGCTTTACAAAGATGATTGACTGAAAGATAAAGTGAATTGATGACTCTACTGACAGTTCTTATAATATGCTTACAACACTAACCACATTATCAACAATGATCTTTCATCATTATTTATTATTATTATTACTATTCCCTTCAATTTCCAGTGGAACATAGGGCTTCAGCCGCGTGTCTCCATTGGGTTGGGTTCTTTGCTAGAGTTTTCACCTGGCTCCAAGTCTGCCCACACATGCTTTCATCTCCTTTTCACATCACCTACTTCATGTCACTCTCGCTCTGACGACCAACTCACCGCTTCTCTTTCGGGTTCCACTCGAACGATGGCTTGTCTAGTGATGTCACTTGATGGTTTCCTCAGAGTATGACCAATCCACCTGCATCCATTTCTTCCTGCTTACTTGTTGCACAATCGGTTCCTGCTAAGTTGGTTCGCTCATTGCCAGAGATCCCTGTTGCTGATCTTCTCTGGTCGGCCATCTGATTTTGAGTATTGAGCGAAGACAGCTGTTCATGAAGGTATGTAGTTTGTTTGAGATGCTCTTTATGACGCGCTGGTCAAGTCTCTGATCCGTAAAGTAGCACTGACTTCACATTGGAGTTGAAAATCCGGATCTTATTTTTGATGCTGAGTGCTGTTGACCTCTACAGAGACTTGAGAGTGGTGAAAGCTTGTCTGGCTTTCCCGATCCTCGCGCTTTGATATCCTGGTCAGTTCCGTCCGCCTGTAGTTGAAACGATGCTTCCCATGTTGGTGTAAGTAAAGGAGGTTGCTTCTTTCATGTTCCTCCCATTTATGCTGGCTGATTGTTGTCTGTTGTTGTTGGCCAGGAATCATCATCACATCTGATCTTTCATCAATAAGTATTGTTATGACTTTTATAACTCTTCTAACGAAATAACTTCTGTTTAACACTAGCGAATTTCAATGTGATGACTTTAATATATCTATGAGAGAAAAAAAGGGGCTTTTTGATGCGTATACGTACACATTTTCCGGTTGAAAAATTCGTTAAAGTTGATGAGTTACCTTCATTCATTCATTCATTCATTGGTTCTAGTCGTTCACATTTGATTTATTCGCTTTCCAAATGACTTATTCATTGTATAGAGGAGAGTCTGGGAGAAAATGCCATCTGTGTATACTTGGAATTTATAATATAAATAAATTTATGGTTCTAAATATATACATATATATCAGACTCTTCTAGATTAAAATTTTTAATCAGTTTCGTACTTTATACATTAAATTTAATCTCTTTTCCCTTGTGTTAATTTTTATGAACGAATTTATCAAGTAGTGAATGTTCTATCGTCATTCCACTGTATGTTAATTAATCCAGGCTAAGATTGGTGGATTCAAGTAAAAATATTATTTCTCTTCTTTTTGGACATTCTAATGAGTCGTTATTTGTTGCTTGTCTAAGTCAATGGGAACGGATGGGTAGTTAAGAAATCTATCCAGTGATAAAGCAGGTATTGGATTAAAGCAATACCAGTCGGTGTCTGTAGACATATTCCTTTGTCTTTTAGAGAATTAATTAACTAGGGATTGAGTGAGGAGACATTTGAAAAAGAAACACAACTTTTTCTTGTTACTGATCAGAGAAATTCTTTCTAATTTCTGTGTTCAAGTGGAACGGTTTTTTTTTACTGTTGATTCAGATGTGTTACTCGTTACCTTGCACATATTTCTCTAATATTCATCTGGTTGCATAATTTGTTCCCCTTCTGACTTCCATATGAATAAATTTATCTTATTGTATTGGTGTCACTAATGTATGTGTTAAGAACACATTTTTTTATTTCTGATTACAGCTTGATTCCACACCGAAGTTTTGGTACAGGTATGGAATTTTCAGCATGTGATATTGGAAGCCCAAATTTTGCAGGCCGACCATAGATATCAGGTGTGAGTCGGCAGGGGATCGAACCTCGGACCATGTGCATGGCTGGTGATCATTCTACTTCTGTGCCGCCGAATTATATCTACATATCTACATACTACTGATTTATTGAGTATCAGTAGCTGAATATCACTCATAACTAGTCAGTCGTTGTAGTTGCTAATCTCCTCGAAGTGAGTTCGCCCACATATAGCTAACCAGAATTTGAGGGATTTTAAACTAATTCTTAGGCCTTTAAGTTGAGAAAAAACCTTGCTTCTATTGCTAATCAGCTCAGCTGCAAGCAAGCAAACTGCCTTCCGGTGTTTTTAGGTCTCTTCGATTTGGTTAGCAAACAACACTGACTGATTGCTATGAGAGTAGTATGCAACTATTGATACGAGACAATTCGGGCCGTAGGCCGTCGTTACAGTCACACAGGAAGTAAAGCAACAGAATTACATGTTTTCGTGTCTTTCAGTGAACTGCTTTCCATATTCATCCTTTCGTAAAATTCCATGAAATGCAGTAGTCTGTTGTTTTTGTTTCTACTGTTTTACCACGATCATTATTTTTGTTGTTGTAGAACTTTGTTTCACGCTTGTCTACAACTGTTACGCTTCATTTTAATTTGTTTAACACTTATTCAAAACCTATTTGCGCATTAGTCTATTTACGCATAGTTATTTGTTAGGCTTAAGTCAGCTTGACATAATATTAACATTCAATATTTGTTTGTTTTTTCCAGACTGGTCTATGCAAGCTACATGATCTATCAATTTGTTCATATGCTTGGACAATGAACAGTTTCTTATGGGGTGATACCTATACAAGGAAATCTATTCTACAAACTTATCGTATACTTGTATTGAAAAAGCATGCACATTTTTTGTATGCAGAGGACAAATGTATGAACACTGAAAAACTCTGCTGCATTGATGATGATAATAATAGTCCATCATCAGAGTTTAAACAGGTTAGTTAACTTGAGTAAATTTATTTATTCGGTTGACAGAAATTTCTCCTTGGTCCCCATTTCTGTGTTTAGTTGTTTGTTTTTCCTTTTTCAAAGCACTTGATCATGAGATCATAACATTGAAAATGCGATCACTGGGGTAGAGTTTAATTCTGTGTTTATTAGATAGTTGAAGGCAATCGGCAGGAATCTTTGGACCTAGGATTCGTGCTAGTTGGCACTTGTCAGCAAGGCGTCTCTGCAACCTTGAAGGAACCCAAAAAGGACATGAGTTCCTTCAAGGTTGCAGATATGCCTTGCTGACTGGTGAGCGCCAGCTAGCATGAAACCTAGGTGAAGCAGGGCTTCCTGTGGCCGATTGCCTCCAACTATCTTTTGTCATCAAATCAATGTGTGCACAGTGATGGCGAGCTACCTGGAACTAGGGACTAGACACATCACACTAATTACTAGTGTCCACTCAAAGCCTCCAAAGCCTCAGGATGGTCGGGGGTGGGTGCCTTGCGCTGCGGGTTGGCCACCCCTCCGCACTCCTCTTGAAATGCTCCCATATGACCGGGCGTCTTACATAGCCTCTCCTGAGGAAGTCCTACTCACTGCCTTCACGTGGCGGAGGTGTTTCTCACCAAAGTGAGAGGGCAAAAGCGGATGCCCGGCGCTCTCCACCGGGTTGACTGTCCATTGGATGACGGTCTAGGGGAGATGGCTAAACCCTGATTCCAAACCTCCAACGACTGGCGTATGAAGCTCACTGGAGCTCACCGGCTGACGTATGGACAAAGGGCTTGTTGGATGTCCTGGATGTCTGGCCCCATTCAAAAAGGCGTATGAACCGAACTCCGGTCACCGGCTGCCACTGGATAGTGGACTCCTTACTCCACTCCTACTGCCTTGTAGGTCACACTTGGTTGTGTAAAGGCTAGAGCTGCACTCTCAAACAAAAGGCCGAGCGATGCTGGGGACATCACTCGTACCAAATTCCCATGAAACTTCATGAACTCTCTTACAAATTGCCGCGCCTGGGCAGCGATGATTCGAGGCGTTCATGAAGCCGGCTCATCCTCCCGTAGGAGATAGCCGAAGTAAAGAGAAAAAAAGAAAGAGAAAGTCCACTCAAAGTAATTCTGTATTTGGTTACAGGATTTCATCATGAGCTGACATTGGTTAGAGAACTATTGGAAAACCTGGGAGTGCTGGACAGTTGTTTTGTCCTGGCTCTTTGGGACTCTTCAGCAGTACGCACCCACTGAGGTTCGAACCCAGGACCTTCTGGTTACAAGGCGAACTAGTAGACGACTAAGCCGCTGGTGCAGCAGGTTGGGTGTGGGGACAAATACTCGCCGAGAACATTGGCTAGCGGTGGCGGTATATCGTGAATTTGCAGAAGTTAGAATTCATGAACTGGCCATTGGATCGGGTCCCAGTTGCTTTATGGTCTACTAGTTCGTCTTGTAACCAGACGGTCCTGGGTTCGAACCCCGGTGGGTGCGTACTGGTGAAGAGTCCCAAAGAGCCAGGACAAAACAGCTATCCAGTATTCCCAGGTTTTCCAATGGTTCTCTAACCGATTTCAGCTCATGATGAAATCCTATAACCAATCAACCAAATCCCTACAAACCAATACTTGAATTCTGTGTTTATTCGATGCCACCTAGATGTTCCCCAAAGCTGAATTTAGAATCATATGTTAAACACATTATTTCTGACCTCTATTAATGTGAAATCAGTATGTAAATCTGCTGCTTTCAACCTGAAGAATGAGATTCTGATTTTTAAATTTAATCTCAACTGAGTTCTCCCTAATGACTGTGAGAGACTTGGCGCACGAGTTACCGAAAGCATGTTTAACAGGTTTCAGTCACCTTCGTTGGCTTGGCATTGGAAATGAAATGGTCAGAAAATGTCACTCTTAGTGTTGCTGCAGGGAAGATCTTCTTTAAAGAGCTGGATATTCTCCTCTTTCAGATATCAGCTGCCATATCTCCCGTGAAATTCAGATTCATATACAGAGTTTTCTTGTTCGTTGAATTGCATTCTTCTCTTTTTCGTTTAGATTTCATGTTCCTGTCGACAAAAACGTGTCGGGTAACCATTTTGAGCCAGGATATTTTTGAAGAATAGGAGCTCCTATTGCAAGTAATCACATCTGCAGATTCTTCTAATGCGATGGGTTAGTGCGATGATGAGAGCTCAAAGGTATCTAACTATAGAAATGCGTTAGTTGGTCGTTCCATGTCGGTTTTCTGTGGATCGACCTCTTCAGGGTTCCATCATCTCTTCTTGTTGATTCCACGTCCAGAAATGGAATCTTTGAATCGTTTTCTAATTCCATTGTGAATTCAATTGAAGGATGGGAATTATTAAATTCTTGTGAGACAACTTTGTATATGAATCTGAATTTCAGGGGAGATTTGGCAGCTGATATCTTAAATAGGAGAATATTCAGCTCTTTAAAGAAGACCTTCCCTGCAGCAACACTAAGAATGACATTCTGTAGCCACTCAGTGCTTCGAAATAATGCGAATGAAAAACTCTCGCATATGCTCAGGAAAGATTAGAAATTAGAAACGCTGAAGTAGATCAAACTTGCTAAAAACTTGGTGCTCCGAAAATACGCCGAAGGAAAGGAAAATGGATCAGACACACATTGAGGAAATGGTTGAGTACCATCACACGTGAGGCCCTTGAATCGAAACTGAATGGGAAACGGTGATTTGCGCGTTCGAGGTTTAACATGATGGAAATCGCGTAAGGCGGAGATGAAAGTCTATGGGTAAATGTAGATCCAGTTAAATGGGACTACGGAGAAGGGGAAGAGGTAGAGATGTTCTGTTGAAGCCTTATCTTTCACTCGAAACCTAGGGGAATAATAATATAAGAACTGGACTTAGATACTTTAACTAACACAGGGTATAAATACTTTATTACTGAGTCTAACAACGGGTGAGATTAATTTACCTGTAAATTGTTATTCCGACCTACATAAATTTTTAGTATAATCGGTATGCACCACACGTATTGTTGTCTTATCTGTAAAATAAGTTATTGACTTAGAAAATCGATAATTCTAGAGAAATCATGTGTTAAAACCTTTCCTTTTTTCATCAGATTTTTTTTTCCGGTTGCTTACCTGATTTAAGTTACTGATAGGAAGAGATAGATAAGCCGGAATTAAGAATATAGATTGTGGTTATTACTTCCTATTTGTCTATGTTGTGTACACAGCATATCTGCAGATTGAGCGGATATTAAAAGAAATGGAATCAGGGAGATGGATTCAGTGCAATCAACTGGTTATGAAGGAGGGGGGGGGTTTAAAAGAAAGTAAAGACGAAAAAGAAAGAAGTATTATCTTGCATTCAAATGAAAATAGGATAGTGAAGCTATTCCTGGATATGTTACAAAGCGTAGCGAGGAAACTCCCACGACTGAGTATCAGACGTTTAAGGATGCGAAACAACTACCATCTTCATTATGCCTTTAACCCCCAAGTTTTTTCTTTGATGATATGGGTCTCAGTCGTCAGGCAATCGGCACTTCCATAGGGAGTTGAGAAAAAAAGAGCCACTAAAGCATAATTCTTCCTAGTTTTCATGGCAACTGCAAACTTAGCAGTGGATACCCTACTGTTGATTAGCTGAATGACTTTTTGTTTTGCTTGTACTTCAAAGCGCCTTTTGAACTAGTTATCCGATCTCGGCATGCTTGAAGCGTAAAAATTTTAGTTTCACTATACTGATCATTTAGCTAAAAGTAAATGGCCATATTTATATTTTATTTGCGCATATTAAAATGACATGGCATGAATTGCTACAGTTTGGACTAGAAAGACCTGTTGCGCGATATAATTTTGAATAAGTACTTGAAACGATGTGATGTATACTATGAAGAGTAGGTTCAAAAATCAAGTTGTGCTGTTATGTAAGCTTGAACCGTTAGCGCCGGTTTCAGTGTAAAATTGTCGACAGAAATTGATACAGAAATATTAATGTAATGGGAAAAGACTGATTACCAAGATAAACTTAACTGTAAATAGGCATGCCTAAGTTCCTTTTTGGCTATTTTGGGCTGTTTAGACTCTGATGATTTCTACTAGATTACCAGGAAAAAACAAATTTTGCAAGTATTGGTTTTGTAGGGATTTTGTTTGATTGGGTGGAGGATTACATCATGAGCTGACATCAGTTAGAGAACCACCGGAAGACCTGTAGGGAGTACTGGACAGCTGTTTCGTCCTACTTTGGGACTTTTAGGCAACACACACACAGAATGCGGGGTTCGAACCCACGACCTTCTGGTTATAAGGCTAGGGAGCTCGTAGACCTCTGAGACATTGTGACCCGGTCCAATGAACCATGAATCTAATGCTCACTAGTGACTGGCCCTGTTCACGCAATGACCTGCGGTTCTAGTTGGACGCCATGATCAGTAGGATACAGAGGTTGAAGGTGAGGCGCAGTAACTCATTGAAGAAAACATTGCGAAATGGTCGCGCTATGCGTGAAATGGCGGAAGTTAGAATTCAAGAACCATTGGATCGGGTCCCAGTGGCTTAATTGTCTATGAGTTAGCTCGCCTTGTAACTAGAAGGTCGTGAGTCCGAACCCTGGCGTTGTATGCGTATCGATGAAGAGACCTAAATTGGGCCAAAACAGCTGTCAAATACTCCCAGGTCTTCTAATGGTTCTCTAACTAATGTCAGCGCATGATGAAATCGTCCATCCAATCAAAAAATGAATTCTGTGATATTTTAGACTGTATGTGTGGTCTGATTGCGAGGCCTATTAAACGTAAATTGTTTATGAGTACCGACGTTTTCGGAGTGCATTTTCTACAATAAACCCCTACGTAAGCTACGATTGTTTATGAATATCAGACTAGACTTTCTCTAACCCTTCCTATCTAGACTGGAAAGCCAAAGTATTCGGTTTGCTAGGAGAACATTCAATTTCTTCACAGTTAGTTGGACCTCTCTCTCACACCACTAATAAATTGTATCTAGAGTTTGCTGTACGACGGTAGCTGATTCAACTAGAATCAGTTCACTGATTGTTAGTGCCAAACGTAAAAGAGGGAAGATACAGTGGTATTGTAAAAGCTACCTCCAAGTGTATCACTTCAAGTTCCTATAATTCGCTACAAAATTATTAGAAAAAAATGGCAAGCCCGAAGAGTATGTATCTAAAGACAGATACAGGGTTTCATCATGAGCTTACATTGGTTACAGAACTATTGGAAAACCTACAAGGAGTACTGGACAGCTGTTTCGTCCTAGTTTGGGACTCTTCAATGGTTTAACGGTATACGAGCTCGCTTTGTAACCAGACGGTCCTGGGTTTGAACCTCAATGGGTGCCTACTGGTGAAGAGTCCCAAAGAGTCAGGACAAAACAGCTGTCCAGTACTCCCAGGTTTTCCAATAGTTCTCTAACCAATATCAGCTCATGATGAAATCCTGTAACCAATCAACTAAATCCCTACAAACCAACACTTGTATAAATACAGATAATTGTTAGGAAGTATTATCTTCAGTTAACGACTGGAATTTTGAAAATTATCTTGTTTCGATTTGTAATCATCGTTTCCATACTTCTTCGTCTTACATACTTCATATTATCCATATGTCTTATAATTCCCCACTGAGATTACATCAATTCTCGATGACCATCATGTGTTGGCTTAGTACCTTTTTTTAACGCCTTATTATCAGCTTTGGATATTTTTCCACTTCAGGGGATTACAGTTTAGTCTAATTAATCAGTTGTCCATACAAGGCTAAGCAGCTCGATTGGTTCGTTTTCTTTTTCAGTTTACTAATTAGTTTGATGTCAAAAATTCTACGGAGTGTATAATATGTCTAATATGCACGGATTAACAGAACTTATGAAAAAAAAGAAAAAATTAGAACACGTGTGCACATATAGCAGTCTTGAAATGAAGGGGATAAGGCAAATGTGTCATGTGATAGTGTTTGACAAGGATATTTATGCATACTTAGTGTATACAACAGTAACAGTGTGCTATTATTCCCTCGAGTTCTGAGTGTGTGTGTATTCAGTCTATTTTCATTTCCTTTGTCATGTTTTTGGGCACTAGGCTTTTGGTTGGTTCATTGCTATGCAGAGTTCGTTGTCGTTTATTCTTTCCTGTTCACCACCTGATCTTCAGTATGGAGTTAGGGAGAGAGTTAATGAGATACTACCTAGTGGCCTAAGTCATTGTTGAGTGGAGTAGAGTAGTTGAAATCTAAGGCTCAGTGTTTGGAATTCGAGCACCCAGTTCTGCAAAAAACGTTTTGTTTTTATGATTTATTAATTTATCAACCTAGTGTTGCTAGGAGCCGCATAAGTAGAGTTATAATGGAAGTAACTTCATCTTTATTTCTTATCTTTAGGGATTGAGAATGCTAAAAACCTCTTTAACAGACCTTTTTTTATAAATATTCATGGAATTATTTATATGTTCTCTCACTGATTTACAAGCTACTTTTATGAACATGTGAATTCTAGTGGTTTAAAATGTTTACTTCTTTCCAGCTTTGTTTATTACGTGGCATTAATCCATATGCAATGAATAATAAAGATTTAATGGAAGAATTACGCTTGTGGATTTCAATGTCTACAATCGCATCAAGTAAGCGTTGAAGGGTGTCTGTTTTCATGATGGAAATTTCAAAATAAACCAGTAGCCTATACTTCTGAGTTTAGTTTTAGTTTAGTTTTATGCTGGGAAATTAATTTGTGAATGTTTGTGAGGTTTATTTCGACAGACTATCCAATTGAATTATAAGCCTAGGAAGTAGAATTACTGCTTAAATTGTTTTTCTTAAATGTGTAAACTTGGTCTTTTGTAATTTTTATTTATTGAGTTCTTCTACAGGTGGAACTGATGTGGATATCAAAGTGGGAGGGTCGAGAAAGCAAGGCAAACTTTCATTATTCTCAAGTTTGTGTGAAGGTCAACAGCACTTGGCATGAAAAATAAGATCCGGATTCTCAACTCCAATGTGATGTGAGTGCTAATATACGGATCAGAGACTTAGTTCCGCGTCACGAGGGACACTTCGAACAAACTACAGAGCTTCATCAACACCTGTCTTCGCTCAGTACTCAAGATCAGACGGTCAGAGTAGATCAGCAACAGAGATCTTTGGCAATGAGCAAACCAACTCAGCAGTAACCAACTGTGCAACAAATATGCAGGAAAAAAGTGGAAATGAGAAAACGAACCATCAAGTGACATCACACGCCAGACTCTCTCGAGTGGAATCCGAATGGGAAGTGGCGAGTTGGTCGTCAGTGCGAGAGTGACGTGGAGTAGGTCATGTGAAGAGGAGATGAAAGCATGTGGGCAGACGTGGAGCCAGTTGAAATCTTAGGCGGTTTACGGAACGCAGTAGAGACGTGTGGTTGAAGCCCTATGTCCCTCTAGGAATTAAAGGAAACTAATAATAATAATAATAATAATTGAGTTCTTCATATATTCCTTTGAGTCCCGTGTATAGAGCATCAAGCTTTTAGTTTTGAAATTTCAGCAGCGGTGGTGGTGTTGTCTTAAGACAGTGGGGTTACTAGCCTCACCTCCGACCTTTCCTATTTTTTCGAGCTTTCTACCGGCTAGTAAACCAGGTGAAGTTTACGAGTGCATCGGCTGGGAATAGAACTGTGGACAGTGTGTGTGGTTGGCAGGGATTCTAACGTTTTACCACTGATGCACTACTATTCTTTGAGTAGTATATTGAAATAAAAATGAAATAGTTCAGCTTATAATTGTTTGTATAAGAAGTTTGAAGTACGAGTATCGTATCATTATTCATTATAGTGGCATGCTTATTACTTAACAGCTGACCTGTCAAAACTAGTGGGTGAACAGTTCAGTGTATACCAAGTTGTACTGATTGATTTGTGTGCTGGGTTTGAATGTCCCTTGGTGGGAGCAACATAATTTGGCTTAGAAACTTCGAACTGACATTTTCGATGTAAGATGTCTTCAAATAAATAGGCGTTTAGCATTTAAATGGTTAGAGACAATCGGCATGAAGGCCTGGACCTAGGTTGTGAGCTTGTCGGCATTCATCAGCACGGCATATCAGTAGACTGTTCTCTGGCGATGTTTGGTTGTAAAGGGAATGCCGAGAAAATACATCGCACTGATTAAGGCGATCTACTCGTACTCATACAGTCAGGTGAGGGCTTACGGCGAGTTGTCATCTGAACTGATGACGACTAGTGGTGTCCGTCAAGGATGCCCATTATCCCCTTTTCTATTCAACTTCATCATATATGTACTAATAGACTTAACCCTAAGTGACTTCAGCGACTCAGGGATTGAGTTACTACCAGGGAATAATCTCGTTGACTTAGAATATGCAGACGATATAGTCCTTCTAGGCGAGGACGCTGAAAAAATGCGGAGTCTTCTAATCTACGAATGTTTGGTATGCGATTCACTCCCTCCAAATGCAAGATGATGTTACAAGACTGGACTACAGCGACGCCTAGTTTGAAAATAGGAAGTGAAGTGGTAGAGCACGTTGACCGCCATCAGCCAATGCCAACGGGTTGATCTCTGACGAAATCTCAGCACGGACACTGGGGGCTCGTTTCGCATTTGCCAGTTTACGCCGTCTCTGGCGTAGACGAGATATCCGACTGGCTGTCGACCAAAGGGCGGGTGTACTGCTCATCAGTTCGGTCCGTCCTCCTTTATGGTTGTGAGACCTGACCACTGAGAGTGGAAGACATGAAAAGATTAGCTGTCTGCGTTCTATCTCCCGTGTGGAGTGGTATAATAGGGGGAGCAATATTAAGGTTAGGCGTCGAGTGCTAGGTAAGGAGGGGAAATCTGTCGACGAGGCTGTGAAGCTACACCGATTGAGATGGTTAGGACATGTGTTACGTATGCTTAGTTGTCACCTTCCTCGACGAGAAATGTTAGCTGACACAGGGTCAGGCTGGAAAAGAGCTAGTGGTGGTCAAATCAAGACATGGCTTCATCAGTCAATGAAATCCAAAACAGTTAGTCTAAGCCACGTAGGAAAGTGTAGACTTCCTGACTGGTTGGGGTCTTCGGGACGGTAAACACCAATGAAGGCTGGAAACAATTGGGGACATGGCTCCAAATCGTTCTCAACGGCCTGCTGGTGCAGATGCATCCACTCCTTGTGACTTATGATTTCCAATGAAACTATAATGTTCGTTATTACTATTCCTTTGTCTCACACCTCTGTTTACTTTCTCTGTTATGCATTTCTTCTACCTTCTTCTCTTGCTTTGTGTGCTACAAGGTGGGGGTGTGGCGACTTGAACTTCCGCACAAGTTCTATGTCGAAAACAAACAGACAGAGAGATATCAGTAGACTTGGAGGAACTCATCCTAGTTTTGAGATTCGGACCCGTCACCCAGTGCTGTGGTCATAGGCGCCTCCACTAAGCCGTCCGGGCTGACGGCATACCTTCTGTTGGCGTGTAAGGGATACATTTTTTGATTGGTCTCTGTAGGCAGTAACTTGACCAAGGTTTCGTTCTTGTTAGCATTCACCAGTCAGCAAGGCGTCTCTATAGCCTTGAAGGAACTCATGTTATCCATCTAACCTAGGTAGCCGATATTCAAAAAATAACTTTCAATTTCTGAAGTGTAAGCATCATTCCTGTGCTAGATGTCACTTCTCATATGTGTTATTATTTGCAATATATTTTCCAGCAAAAAGCATTTTGGTATAACCAAGTGGGATTATGCAAAGATAGATAGAAGACTGTTGCTGGAAGAAAAGTAATTATTTCTCCCATGAAAAAAAACTCATTTTCATATATTTATATATATTCTCAAACACTTAATCCAATAGATAAACGTATCTCATAAAAAAATGATATTTTCGGTCAAAGATGAATGTGAATAAGTTCAATGACCGTAAAATTATCTGGAAATTTTTTTTCTTCAGTCAACTGAATTTACTTATTAAGTAAGGTTAAAACTCCAAAAAAAAAACAATCCTTCATATAAAGACGGTTATTTTTCTGCTTCAATCATTGTATTGCTTCGTCTATAAATAAGTAAATGGTCATCTTTCTGTACTAATGAATAATTGTATATTAGTTTTATGATAAGATTAACTGCATAGTTGCGCAGCGGTTAAAATTGTTCCGCTTTTCACACTTAAGCTAGGCATCAAATAGTATGCGGAATATTCTGTGATTGTTACTTGGTTAGTAGCTGCCCTTTAAGAAATTTCAAACACCCATTTTATGCGGCTTGGGACTGATCAATTGAGTGTTGAACCTGATGCCCAGTAAGTGATAGTGTTCTCGGTGAGTGTCAAAATGAGTATCCAACTTTTCAAGCGCCAAAGCATTACCCACTAGACTGTTGTGCCATAAAAGCCACTTCGTTTGAAACAGGTATAGGCTGTTATTTGTTGAATATTCCTAAACACCTGGTCTTTGTTTGTTGACTTATCAGCTTCTAGTACGGATACTTTGACGAGTCAACCGTCATGTTGTTGGAGTGTCAACTACAGAGACCCAAGTATTTTGACCCTATATATATTTAGTCGACGCGAATTTCAAAACAACTTCAACAACTAATTAACCAAAATACGAAATTCTAAACTTTATCATAATTCAGCTATTTTGAGAATGATATTTATTTTTAATTATTATTATTATTCCCTTGGGTTCCTAGTGGAACATAGAGCTTCAACCGCACATCTCCACTTGCTTCTGTCTTCTTCTGTACTTTTCACCTGCATCCATGCATGTTAGTCCATGCTGTTTCAACTCCTCTTCACACGATCTCCCCCATGTCACCCTTGCACCGACGACCAACTCACCGCTTCCTTTTCGGGTTCCTGACGCGCAGTGTCACCCAACGGCCTACTCACTGAGTGTCCAATCGATCTCCACTTTCTCCTGCATATTTGTTGGTTGGCGGTTGGTTCTTGTTTTGTTTGTTCCCAGCCATAGTTTCTTCTCATTGGTGATTCTTTCTGGCACAGCCCGACCATCTGATCTTCAGTATGGATCCAGCGAAGACAGTTGTTGGTTGACAAAGGTCTGCAACAGGCTGTTGGAAATATTCTTTGTGACCCACCCGCCCCCAAGTTTCTGATCCGTATAGAAGAACTGACTGACTTGACATTTGTATTGAAAATTCTACCGAATTTTGTTGTTGATGCTGGCTGAGTGACGAAGATTTCCAGATTGGTTTCAGTTGGTTGATGAGTGTGTTTCTCGCCTGCCTTCCCGATTCTCGCTCGATTTGACACCCTCGTCCGTTTCGACTGGCTGTAGTTGAGACGATGCTCCCTAGATAAGTGAGTGAATGAAGTAACCTCTTTGAAATCCCTCCCGTTGATGGTGATTGGCTCTGGATGTTGCTGCTGTTGTTGTTGGTTGGTTACTTTTGATGCGTAAAATAAATAGAATACTGTCGTTTAAGTGAATCTAGGTAGCATCGGTTTCAGATGGCACATCATACAAATGCAAAGTGTGTGAGTTGGTGGTACAGCAGTAGAATGCTCGCCAACCACGCAGATGGTTTGGGGTTCGATCCCAGGCCACCGATGCACTCCTTTACCTCGCAAGACCAGTAATAATAAGACTGGTAGAGAGGGAAGGTTGGACATAAGGCTTGCAACTCCATCCCTTAAAAACAAGCGCCACTGGTACCGAAACTTCAAGTCTGTAACTTGAAGGCCTATTTTCTACTGGGAGAACGTAAAGGAGTAAAAAAATGAACAGAGGGTGGCACAGCAGTTAGGACTCTCGCCGACCAAGCACATGCTCCGGGGTTCGATCCCCTGTCTACACACATCTGATATCAATGGTCGGCCTGCAGAATTTGGGCCATAGAGTCTACTGTTTTCGAAATAACGAGCATGGTGTTGAGGTAATATGTGCCTTGTTATCTCATAGTTCGAATCAGTGATTGATTATTTTAAAACGGTATTCATGATTGACTAGTTTTATTTTCATTGTCAATAAAGTCAGAGTAGTATTGAGTAACTTTTTATATGTTGTCTATTACGAAAGCCAAGGATTTGCTGTGTCACAAAAATAACGGATATTAAGATGTGATCGAGTATTAGTCTGCAATGTCTTAATCTTCAGTATATGCAGGATTCTTCAGTTTATTCGAGCAGTTATTTAGTCTACATTGTTTTCTTATGTCTGAAACGTTTTGGTTTTTGAATTTATGCATTGGACAATGAACGTGAACATTTTACACAAATGCCTTAACAATGGGGAATCATTCGATCCAGATGATATTATGTAATCTTTGGCACAAAAGAACAGTAAATTAGGTATATATAACTGACTAATATTTCACTAGTTCGTTTATTAAATTCACTTTTTCTATAGAAATGTTTCTTCAGTTACGTGCGTTGGTGGATTGGTGGTAGTGTGCTCACCAGCCACGCTTATGGCATGGCTTCGATTCCCTGCAGACGCACTCCTAGCATTACCTAACTGCTGGTTAGCTCAGAAAAGAGGGAAGTTTAGACTGGCGTGAGGCTGGAGACTTCACTCTGTGAAGAAATTTATTAATGGTATTGCTCAATGCTTTTTTTAGTTCCTTCACGTTCCCAGTGGAACATAGAGCTTCAAGCTAGACACTTGAAGTTTCTGTAGCAGTGTTTAGTTTTACAGGATGGGGTTGCAAGCCTTATGCCCAACCTTCCCTCTTTGCCAGTTCTATTACTGACTTAGCGAGGTAAAGGAGTGCGTCGGTGGCCGGGGATCAAACCCCAGATCATGTGCATGGCCGGCGAGCGTTCTAACCGCTGTGCTACCGACTCTGCTCAATGCTTGAAGCTCTATATTTTACTCGGACTGAGTGACTGGTTTGAAAAAAAAGAATTTTATCGGATATTTTAAATCACAAGAAGTGACTGTATCTGTGCCGGCCATTGAGAACGATTTTGAGCCATATCATTAATTGTCTGTTGTCACCAGTATTTGGCGTTCCGAGGATCCCAACCAGTCAGGAAGTCTGGACCTCTCTATGTGACTGGCTGGTACAAACTAACTCTTGTGGATTTCATTAACTAATGAAGCCATATTTTGGTTTGACTGCTGATGAGCAGTACACACATCCTTTGGTCGATAGCCGGCTATCACGTCTACGCCAAAGGCAGCGTAAAC